AGGAAATCCTTTAACAACAGTTGGCTATTGGTCTCAGAGGTATTTAGAAAAAAACTCCATATAACTCTATTGTAATGTTTAAAATCCTCATCCTTCTTCTTACAGAAATGTCGGTAAACCACGTACCTCAACTGTTCATTTTCCTCGTATCAGGCGGCAGAAAACCTACAAAGACTTTAAAGCTTCCCCCTATAATTCTAATGAGACAGGAAATATAATACCTGCCTGAAAACTCAGCTTTCCCTGGGAAGAAACTCAGCCTGAAGAGCATTTTGTAGATTCTGATTAATGATTAACTATGTTTCTACTTTTCTGATAGCTGGCTGCCTAGGACTAAATAAAATGTACCACAACCAAAGAACATAAATAACATAATTAAATATATATTGGAGCTTTAAAAAAAAGCTACTTGAGAATTAAAAGAAAAGACAAACATTTGTGAAACAGAGAAATGAAATTTCAAAAAGTTTTTCACAAACTTCAGGCACACCTTGTGTGGGCTACGGAAGGCTTTTCAAGAGACAGCTGTCAATCTTATCACCCAGGATAGCAGTAGAACAGGATAAGCCAGCAAAAAGATTCATAGGAAAGATTTAGAAATGGTTTGACATCACAAACTTGCCAAAAAACCTGGATACAGAGCCAGTAATTTACTTGTAACAGGATAAGAAATGGGAAACCAGTCATTTACAAGGAGGTGTACAACTGGACTCATATGTTGACATTTGCTGGATCTATTCCAGAATGTAGGAGAACATTGTGGATAGGGTGCAGTTTTCTCCAATACTTGGTAATTAATACGTTTATTATCAAATGAATTTTATGTGGTAAACTCTTCAAAGCAGGAATCACACTGATTTATGCAGTCTGTAAGCTGTGTATAAATTAAGCACACTCTGAAAGTTATGATGGTGCTAATATAGTGGAAAGGTCATGAAAACATGGGACGTATCCAGGTCACGTTAAGACTACCAACGTTTTGAAATTCTGAAATTCTGAAGATTGCACTGTCATGCTTTTTGGTGTGCCTGAATGATTAAACCTTTGCCAAGTCAATCTATCTTTGGCTTGAAAATGAATTTGTCGATCGGAATTTACCTTAAAATTTTAACCAGGACTTCAGTTCCAAGAGAATGAACAATGTCTCCTTCTGTTACCACAAATAATTAAAACTATTTTAGGAAAAGACACCTTTCCAACTGGGACTCTCTAGTAGGTGAAATCAATAGTTATCAACAACTCTTGGGGGGGGCGAAACTCTTTTGTATAAAGTGGGTGTTGAGGGGCATCATTTGACTACATGTCCAGAAACTACCTTTCCCCTGAGACAATGCAGCTTCAAACCAGGCCTGTGCTACCTGCTCTCTAACAGGGCTATTTAGGGACCCACACAAAACTCAGGCCCATCCCACCAGGCTGGAGCCAAGGAAGATTTCTACACCTCTCCCATCCTGTTTTTTTGTTTGCTTGTTTGTTTTTCATGCCTATGCTTGTAAATGTGTAGGAATACAAATCAAAAGAGGTAAAGCTCTGATGAGACTGCCTTCCTAACCCAAGCCAGGCAGAAAGAGAGCCAATCGATTTTTAGTACTTTGGACATATTGGCCCTAAGAAGGTAAACAATAGCAATAAAACAGAAAAGAATCCTATTCATCTTCATTTTTATCATCACCATTACATATTATTATTTGGTTCTGATTGATCATTGCTTTTCTTTAGGGCTCTCCAAATAGAGAGCCCCATCTCAGAACTCAATATAATTGTTCTGTGCCCCATCAGAGCACAACTATAATCCAGCAGCCAATTGAAGATCAACATTTTCTTTGCAACTTCTGTTTCCAAGATTTTATCTCACACATAGGCTAAGCTAAAATACTCTTTCATTCCAGGGGCCGATGTGAATTTTAAACTATTTTTAAAGAAAAAATAACTTGTATAGGATGACGTTAATTTCTTTTTGTGGTACATACAATTTATATGCAACTCTTCGCTTAAGATTTAAGGCTGTTTATTTTCATTACACTCATCACACACACTTCCCAGTGATATCAGTGAAAGACGCATATATGAAATACCGTTGAAGCCAGAATATACTCCTATTCTGTACATAGCCTTGGCGTTTACATCAGTCTGATCAATAAGCTAAACTATTGTCACAAAATTGATAGAAAAAATGTTATTTTCAGGCAATCATTTTTCAAGCCGATCTGTGGTTAACTTGCTAAACTGGGATTCACTATGAAATTTACAGCTGATGTCTCGTCCATTCAAGTAAGCATTATCTTTTCATTTTCAAAAGTAAAAGCTCTGGCTTGGGCTTGCTACCTCCTTCCAGATAACGTCAGGATCCTGGGCTTGCTTCCACCTGCGGGCGCGCGCACCCCGAGTCCTCCTTTTACCCCTCCGAGGGCCGATATGGCACCTTTCTGAGAACAGAACCCAAACACGAAAACTTTCTGGCCGCAAACTCTACTCCTCTCGCCCGCAATCAAAAGCGACCCGGCAGAAGGACCGGCACTGGCTTTTGTTCCACCACTGCCCAGCTGGCGAGGGAAGCGCCACAGCAGACCTCTATCCAGAAAGATCGGGAGAGATTCCGTGGCACTGAAATTTTGGAGCCTCAGGAAAGAAGCCCATTTCTACGCAATCCGTGCGCGCGGGGTGTACAAACACATGAATAGAGGGCGTGAGGGAGGCAAAGATGAAATTCTCAGTGCCTTTCAAATTCTACTTCGGTCTTAGGTTCGCCGAGTCTCCTGAGCCGCGGAAGAGCGCGAGGGGGCGGGGAGTGGGAAACGCCACGGACCCGGACAGAAATAGGTACGAAGACGGGACAGGAGATACAGGCAAGATGCAGGTCCGGCCCCGCCTCCGGGTACAATCAGAAAAGCTAGTGTGTCAGTGGTTTTCGGCTTCCTGTTTGTAAAGGGAGAACCTCCCTCCCTGACTCTGTGACCGTCGTTCTTCCTCAAAACGGAGTCCGCCTCTTCTTCGCGCACGGGGCAGGCTCCGCGGCGGGGGGAGCCGGGCCGAGCGGGGCCGGGTGGGGCGGGGGCGGCCCCGAGCGGCCGCGAGTGCCGGATCGCGGGGCCCCTG